ACAATCAGTCAGGAAGTGACACTTCTTGGTATTAGCATATAATTTCTGCTCCCTCAATGTCTCGAACACCCTTCTCAAATGCTGCAAGTGTTGATCAGTCGATGCACTATAAACCAAAATATCATCGAAATATACGATGACAAACTGGCCAATAAAAGGACGAAACACCTTATTCATCAGTCTCATAAAGGTGCTCGGCGCGTTAGATAACCCGAAAGGCATCACCATCTACTCATACAGACCATCTTGAGTTTTAAAAGCGGTCTTCCACTCATCTCTAGGACGCACCCTAATATGATGATATCCACTCCTCAAGTCTATCTTCGAAAAGATAGTCGCTCCATACAGCTGATCAATTAAATCATCAAATCTCGGGATAGAAAAGCGATACCTGATCGTGATCTTGTTGACAGCTCTGCTATCCACGCACATTCTCCACGACCCGTCTTTCTTAGGAACCAATAAAGCTGGCACTGCACAAGGGCTCATGCTCTCTCGAATTGCACCCTTTTTCTAATAGTTCCTGCACTTGCCTCTGCATCTCCTCATGCTCCTTAGGATTCATTCTGTAAGCTGCCTTATTAGGAATAGCAGCTCCTAGAACGAGATCTATGCAATGCTGAATGTCCCTCATGGGTGGCAATCCAGGTGGCAATTCCTCTGGTACGACATCAGCAAACTCCTCAAGTATAGGCAGAACTTGAGTTGAAATTTCTAGACTATCAAGATTCTGCTCCATTACTACAATAGCAAAAAGCTCTGGGGCATTCACCGCCTCCTCTTGGAACTCTGATTTGGAAAGCAGATTACTTTTCCCTTCTATTCTCAAATCTGAAGTGCCTAAAGAATGGTCCGACCATCCTTCTTGAAGGTGTACGTATTTTTGAATTCATCATGCTGTGTTTTCCTGTCAAACTGCCAAGGTCTTCCTAACAGAATATGACAAGCATCCATCAGTATATTTCTTCCCAATTGAGAACTGCACTAAACACCTCTCGCTCACTTTTACCTCATTCCCCTTCCTAAGCAATGACAGCTTATATGGTTGAGGATGTTCGACAGTTTTCAACCCCAACTTTTCTACCATAGTGGTAGATATCACATTCTCGCAACTTCCCCCGTCAATTGTCATACTACACACATTTCCCCCACTAGTGCACTTAGTATGAAAGATATTATGCCTGAGCCACGATTCATCATCTACCTCAGCAATATTTAAAACTCGACGCACAACTAAAGACTCACCAGAATCGGCATAGACAATGTCCTCCTGATCTGGATCCGCATCTTCTTGCTCTCCATCAGATTCATCATAAGTTGGGTCTTCATAAAAAAAAATTGGGTCTTCATCAAAAGTTGGATTATCTACAAGTATCACAAATTGTCGGTTCGGACAATCAGCAGCAAAATGCACGAGTCCTTGACACTTGAAACATCGCTTGCCTGCAGCTCCTCCCCTGCTAGATCCAGCACTACCCTGCTCTCCTTTTGTTGCAGATTTTGAACTAGCGCCCTTAACTGCCACCAGGGCTGAAAAACTCCCTGCTTTCCCTCGAGACTCTTTATCTGACCCCTTGGAACTGCCGCCTGACCACTTAGAACCGCTGCTAGACCACTTGGACTTACTGCTATTTCTTTTAAACTGCCCCTCCACCTTTAGGGCTAGTCTACACATGTCCTCATATGTCCAATATTGCTGTAATTGGACAACATCAGATATCTCATATCGCAGCCCTACCAGATATCGAGCAATCATCTGCTCGTCTTCCTCCGCCACATTACAACTCATCCGCAAGCGATCAAATTCCTTTGTAAATTCCTCAACTGTTTTATCACCTTGCTTAACGTTATGATACTCGATAAACGCCTCTTGCCTATAATGGGTAGGCAAAAAAAAATTTTGCAACAATTTTTTCATCTTCTTCCAGCGATCCACCTTCGGCTTCCCCTTTCTAGTGCGTTGCTTTTTCACGTGTTCCCACCAAATCGAAGTATGTTTTCGCAGTCTAATAGCCACTAACTTCACTTTTTGTCCCTCAGTTAGGTCTTTAAGATCAAAAATCCGTTCTACCGTATGTAACCAATCAATAAACTCATCAGGATGAGCCTTACCATTAAACTCGGGAATCTCGATCTTCATCCCGAAATTTTGAGAAGAGAGCTGATTTCCAGATTGTACTCCTCGATTCCGCCCTTGGTTCAGAACCTCGAAAGGGTTTACGTCCTCTTCTTCATCATCGGATAGATCCTCAGATTCTGCTTCTTCTTCGGATTGAGCGTCAAGCCCTGCCTCTGCAAGACGTCGCCCCAAATCCTGGATTCGCCTTCTCTGTTCCTGAATTTCTATGTCTCGCAGATCTCTCAGACGCGGCTGTTCATCTGCATCAAGAACGACTCCACGCCCCTGGCCTCCACAAGCACGCTATCTTCGACCACCTCGATTCTGTTCAACCATTGATTCAGGTAACCTATGCTCTGATACCAATTGATGCCGAAGCGCGAAAGAAATTAGGCTAAACAGAAGAATCGAAACTATAACGAAAAACAAACTGTTCTCTCAATCGACTAACAATCAAACTATCCAAAATATGCTCAAACGAAACCCTAAAATAAGCTTATATATCCTCAAACCTAACCCTACTAGGATTAATAAATATCAAAATGCAAAATTACGAAACTGCCCTTTACTAAATCAACCCATAAAAATACTAAAATAATAGAAAAACCCATCTAAACGACCCCGAATCGCGAAAATCCATCGTTAGTCACGGCTAATAGCAGTGAGTATTGATCAGCACGCCGTTTCGCTTTAGCCGACCAAATTTGAGCTCAATCCGAGATCGTTGACTTCGAGCCCGTCGGTTCGTCTAGTCGCATAACGGGTCCGCCGGTCCCCTAGGTGCATCAGAAGTGATTTATGTCCCGGTGGTGAACTTTTTCATCCCAAAATTCTTTCTTCGCAAACACATCAAACACTTTCGTTCCATCAAACATGGTCATCAATCTCACCCAATATATATACGAGCGATTGTTGCGTGCACTCGAGGTACATAAGTCTAATACATATAATCTAATGGATCGCGTACATTTTCACACGATCCAATGGATCATATGCATGGGCTCATGTGGTCCAGGTCGACCGATGTCTTTCTAATCACATTTGCACATAGTTACGTAGTTGTCAACGTAACCTCTTGTCATGGCAAAAAGGAAAAGACGTTCAAATGAAAGCTCTACGAGAGCTCATCAAGAAAAAGGAAACAGAAACATCGTCCGTATTATTTCTTATAGAATGTCGAGACAATGTCGCTGACCTAGCCTTATTACCTGCGCACCCTCGGGCCGTCTCACGTTTGACACGCCCATTTGGTTTGAAATCTCATTTCTATTTCCGTTTCTTTTGCGGAAAATATTTTACTCATTTTTCGGTATTTGATTTGCTTTGGTAAATTTAGAAAAATAATTTTCTCTTTGAAAAAATCAAAAAACATTTTCCGAAATATTAGTAGCTATCGACGCTTGAACCCGAAACTCTACGCTTGGGGACGGAAATCTCAACGTTGGTTCCCGGATCCGGCATTCACGACCAGGTCTCCGGCGACTAGGCCCGGGTCCATCAAGGCTTGGCCCGTACCCCTGGTGCCCGTACCCAAAGCTCCGACAATCGAACTCGGGTCCACAAAGGCCGTGCTTGGATCCCCGACGCTCGAGCTTTGGTCCCAACATATAGGCCCAGGTCCACAAAGGCCATGCGCGGGTTCTCGGCGCTCTAACTCGGGTTCTTGGTTAATGAAACGTTTGTTCTTATAAAAAAAATTAAATTTTTAATTATTTTTATTTTTTAAAAATCGAATTATTTATTATTTTGAATTTTTTTCGTTTTTTCCTTTTCTTCCTTTTTCCTTTTGCTTTTTCCTCGGCTGGTCACCGACCACGGCAACGGCCGGTGAGCTTGGGACTCACCAGATTGGGCAAGCTCATGGCCTTTGGCGGCAAGCTCACCGAGACCCGGTGATCAGCTAGAGGAGAAAGAATGGAAGAAAAAAAGGAATTAAATAAATAAATAAATATTAGAAAAAAATATTAAATATTAATAAAAATTGTCAGCGGCTAGCCAACCTCTACATTAGCGATTTTCAATCAAAATTGATCGAATGGACTCAATTAGCAAAACGTTGAAAGGTTTATGACTCACTCGACAAAATTAAAAGATTTATGACTGAATTGGTAAAAGTGCAATAGACCTTTTTGAACAACTTTTCCGTCTAAAAATAGGGCTAAGTAAGAAAAGAAATCAGCGCTATTGAAGGTTCGAGGCTGCTGTGAATTAGGGTTGGGGCAATCGGGAGTTAAAGTCAACTCTCTATATTGGATCACTACAAATTTAAGGTTGATAATTTAATTTCACCTGCTATATATTTGGATTTTTAATCATGTCAATGTCAAGTTGTGTCGTTCTTTTTCTTTTAAGTCTATCAAATTGTGTCATTGGAAGATGCATTCTTTTGTTGATTGTACAATCAAACTTATATCTACTTGTTTAGCACGTGGGAGAGATAGACAGCAAGCAAGGACGGAATATATTAAGGTCCATTTGTTTCACGAAAAATAAATAAATTAAAAAATATTTCTTAAAAATGACCATTCGTATCACTAGAAATAAATAATTAATCAAAAATATTTTTATTATCCATAACAATTTACATCTAAATATTTTCATAAATAATAAAATCATTTCTCACTTATTTATTTTTACACTTGATAAAAGCGTTCGATTTTATAAAATTATTTATTAAATTATTTATTTTTTACGAAATCAATAGAGGTTAATGATACTTGTTACGAATATAAAAATGCTGTGTCAAGTCAACAATGACAAGGTCACGGACCGCGACTCACGGTCGGGTCGACCTGTAAGAACTCGTTTAGATCGATCACGTGCATGTATTTAAGAACGTAACATGGGGTTTTATCTTGACCTTTCCATACTTTAGTCCTGTTCCCCCGTTGGCGGGGGTTCTTGTCGTTTCCCACTTCTCATCTCATTCGGATCGCCAGTCTCCATCGTCTTCCCATCCTCGTCGCCTTCTTCTTCATCCTCCTTCCGCCACTCCTACGCAACGCACTCGATCAGCTTTCCCGGAAAACTCCCAGGACAACGTTCCTGTTCCTCCACCTCCTCCGAACGGCCATGGCGAACTCAAACTGTTTCGACCGAGAAACCTCCACCTACAGGTCCCCCCGCCCGCCGCTCCACTTCCCCTCCGAACCCGACCTCACCCTCACTTCCCATCTCTTCCGGAGCTACTCTTCCTCGTCTTCTTCCCCGCGATCCCTGGCCCTGATCGACGTGGACTCCGGCGAGTCTCTCACCTTCCGCCAGCTCGAGACCCGGGTCGCCACCCTCTCCCACGTCCTCCTCCGCGAGCTCGGCATCGGGAAGGGCGACGTCGTCCTGTTCTTCTGCCCCAATTCGATTCACTTCCCCGTCTGCTTCCTCTCCGTCGTCGCCCTCGGGGCCGTCGCCACGACCTGCAACCCCGTGTACACCCTGTCCGAGTTGTCCAAGCAGGTCAACGACTGTAAGCCCAAGCTGGTGATCACCCTGCCCGAGCTCTACGACAAGGTCAGAGGCTTCGAATTGCCCACCATTTTGCTCGGCTCTCTGCAGCCCGAGAAACCCGCCGATTCCGAGATCTGGAACTACTTCGACCTGGTGGAATCGGCGGAGCCGAAATCCGACTTGCCGCCGAATTGCGTGGCTCAGGACGAAGTCGCGGCCCTGTTGTACTCGTCGGGCACGACGGGGACGAGCAAAGGCGTGATCTTGACGCATAGGAACTTCATTTCCACCTCGGTGATGGTGACTGACGATCAGGAGAGGTACAAGGAGGGCAAGAATGTTTTCTTGGCCTTCTCGCCGATGTTCCACATAATGGGCCTGTCGGTGATAGTCTATGCGCAGCTCACGAGAGGGAACACCGTCGTGACGCTGAGGAAGTACGAGTTGGAGAAGGTTCTGGGGTGTGTGGAGAGATACCGAGTGAGTCACTTGTTTGTGGCTCCTCCGGTGATGGTCGCACTGGCGAAGTGGAGTACAGGAAAGAAGTATGATTTGTCTTCCTTGAAGGTGATAGGCTCTGGCGCTGCTCCTCTTGGTAAGGATGTTATGGAGGAGTGCGCGAAGAATATCCCCCATGTTGATATCATTCAGGTAATTGAGCCAGCGGGCGTCATTATTGTATGCTTCATTGGAGTTTCTAGGGGAAATTGAGGATATTGAAATGTCTATCTGCTTGTTTGCTCCTCTTTCTTTTGCTGAAAAAGTGAGGATTGGACATAGTTTATCATCCAGTAAGTACAGTAATTTGACAGTTGATGTTAACGATAGACGATGGGATTGTAGCTTTGTGAATATGTCAGTTCACCTTGGATAGTAACTAGCCGGTATCTTTGCAGTGCCACTCATATTCTTCACGTCCTAGGAAAGTTCAGAGTCACTAGTGAACTGTATGGCAATCTCTACCAATCACCAGTATGCATCGGTGAGGCAAGGAGAATGAATAGTCTGTAGCTTTACACCCAGTATGAACCGCCAGGCTCTTTGTGATATGGCATGTCCTAATGTGAATCCTCCATGCTCCGAATTGGCAGGGGTATGGTATGACGGAAACTTGTGGGATGATATCGCTGGAGAATCATAGAGAAGAACCTAAACTTTCCGGTTCGACTGGAACACTTGTTTCGGGAGTGGAATCTAAAATTGTCTGTGTGGAGACATCGATGCCTCTTCCGCCGAATCAGATGGGAGAAATTTGGGTTCGAGGACCGAATATGATGAAAGGTAGAAATACGAAATATCCTCTCTGCATCTATTGAAACAACGAGTGGGCGAGCAAGACTGTAATTTCCTCGTTTGCATATGTTCACAAAAGAATCCACAAATTTGGTTCTCCTCAGGTCAGGTTCAGAACTTGATTGTTGGGTGTATCAGCAGAATTGCCCGGGTCAACTTCACATCTTTTGGAAGTCTGAATCTGAAACTCTCAGAATATAATACTTTCAAAGATGGAATCATTAGAGGCACTACTTTTATGGGGGTCAACGATTGTTTATGATTGTGCTGTCATTGAATGTGAAATACATTGGAAATTGGGTCGATAATGTTCATTGCCCAGACAGTTTCTATTAATTAACTGCAGTATTTACGCAGGGAAGGTGATAAGTCTGTACCAAAATGAGGCTGCTTTTCTCATTTTGACTGGATATCTCATCTCATTCATGATACCTTCTCAGGTTATCTCAACAACCCAGAAGCAACAAAGCTGACCATAGATGATGAAGGATGGGTGCACACAGGAGATCTTGGGTATTTTAACAGAGAGGGGCAATTATTTGTTGTTGATCGGTTAAAAGACCTCATCAAGTGTTATGGTTTTCAGGTAAGTAGTGACTCGTAAATCGAAAGTGTCACACGTTCTTTCTTTGTCATAGAATATTTGCTCTTCTAAATGCTTGGAGTGCCGATAAATCTCTTGGCTTCTACTGGGAAATGCTTACTTGGATAGAGTAGTAAGATTGTGCTTGTCTATGATTTGCTTCGCTACATAGTTTTTACGATCGAGTAGCTAAATTAATATATCTTTGTCCAATAAAATACGTCAACTTTTCAAAGGTGGGTTAATGTAAGGCCCCCGCTAAAATCGCAGATGGAAAATGCCAACGTGTATACTAATGCAGTCAAATAGCCATTTACTACCCACATTGATGTCCAATGCGGCCTATAGAGATGATGCCACGTGAGGAGAGAGATATTCGAGCTAAAATTATCCAAGCCAGCAATCTCTATCTCTCTCCTCGTCACCCAACACCTAATTAGAGATTAAACAATTTTTACTGAATAAGCGAGCCACGTCACCAATTGTGCTTAACTTTTACCGAATAAGCGAGTCACATTAGCAAAATCACATGACGCAATTTATTTAATGGAGGCCTCACATTAAGCTGAATTTGAAAAGCTAAGGTACTTAATTGAACAAAAAGAAAATGTTTAAGGTACTCGATTGTAAAATGGACAAAAGCAAAGGTACTTGCGGTGTTATCACCCCTGATTTTGAGCTCTCATTTGGTGTTGCTTTTAAGAGCTTGTGACTTGTTTGTTCCTTGCATTCATCAAGTTAATCGGTGTACTCCATTTTTCCTACGCCATTACTCATTTTCACAAATCCACCTAGGTTAACTATTGTGGGAACTGCTAGAATAAAATTTCTTTAGATGCCTGAATCCTTATGCATATTTTGAGAATATTCAGATGTTTGGATATGATGACTCATTAGCACTACTGTGATCTAACACAATCAGTTCGACCCTGACCACGAATTCTTCCATTCAAACCCAAAATTTCGTTAACATGTACTGTAGTATTCGGTTCATGGATCAGAAAAAACCCGACGTTGGCTATGAATCATTCCACTTGCCGCACTTACGAAATATACTGATATTCTTCTGCTTTCAGGTGGCACCAGCAGAGCTTGAAGGACTGCTGCTTTCACATCCTGAAATACTAGATGCCGGCGTCATCCCGTATGCGGGCATCATTTATTAAATGTCAATTTTGTCAATGTGGAAAAAAAAAAAGAACGGCCTGTGCTGCTTAATTTTATCAGCCAAGATGCACTGGGATGACTTTTGAATTCTGAGGGTGTCTCTCTCTTATTAGGTTTCCTGATGCTAAAGCCGGTGAAGTTCCAATTGCATATATTGTTCGGTCACCCGACAGCGCACTCACCGAGGCCAGGGTCCAGGAATTCATTGCAAACCAGGTAACGGATCTTCCATGCGATGTATCTTAACTTGATCTTCTTATACAAGTGGCATATTTATACAATGGTGTTTAGGCAAACATAAAGTCTCAGCTTACTGTATTCGATGCCGCTTGACATTGTTTCATGGAATGAAAGCTTCCCATCGTCAGCACTCCAGGGATCCACAGAATTGTTAAATGTTTTTAGCAGAACATTTGATCCGATCCCTCGTTGTTCAGAATGCTAATAAGATTATTGGTCCTTCCAAATTTGGGTTATTAAAATGCAATGTGAATGCTTATGTAGTGAATGATTTGTCGCTGGTGCTTCTAACCTGAAAATGCTCTCCTGTTCCCCGAATGCTTGTTCAATCATTATAAGTCAGACACGGTGATAACTTACCACAAAATAATGGTGATAGTGAGATCTCTCTTGCTTACTATCATTTCTTTGTCATCCTCAACAGGTTGCGCCATATAAATGGTTGCGGAAAGTGACTTTCGTAAACACTGTGCCGAAATCACCGGCTGGGAAGCTTCTGAGAAGAGAACTCAAAGAGAAAGCTCGATCCAAGATATAAGATGGCTTAGATATGCGCAACTGAAAAGGATATGTAGATCTACTGCACAATCGACCTCTCGACAGTCTGCCTTCAGCTGATGAGTACGTAAGTCTGACGGATTGGCCCGTCCTTTATAAGGCTAGTGAGAGACCGTTTCGTATGAACTTTGAATTAAATGTTGTCCTCTTAGGAGTTGAATCCGGCAGCGAAAATTTGGCCGGTGTGAACTGGAATACACCATTTGTCAGCAATAATGTGGAGATCAGCTTAGCTTCTCTATTAGGAAGTTTGTTAAAACGCACAATTTCTTCATTATGGACAACTAGTAAAACATTGAACAGAACAATTTATGAATTTTCAATGCAAGTATATTTCAATCCTTTTAAATTGCTTGAAATTTCAATTTGGGTACTTCGGCCCAATTCAGTCCTGTTCTTCAATTCGACTCTTAACCTAGCAACTCGTGTGAAATATGGACAATGACACATGACAATGAGACACTAGCATGGTTGTGCCGTGATCTACAGAATGAACCCAGCAGAATCCATATGATGAAGCATGCTCACGTATTGTTAGATAAGCATGACCATATGGTTACGGCGGTAGCTATTCAACTTCACTAACTGGTATGGGAAATCCAAGCCTACACGCTTTGATAAGAACGTAAACGATAGACCCGTGAAGGACAGAAAGTAATTGAAAGAGATGTTTGACAATGTGTGGGTTTGTTTCAGCCACTCGAATGTGGCTGTGCCAATCTGATGCTTGAGTGAGCGATCTCACTAAAGTTGCCCGGTTTCAAATTATTCTTTTGTTGACTATCTGCGTGTGTGTTAAATTATATCTCGAGTTTGAGTTGTTTACGAAACCCAACCCGATTGGATGAATATCCAAGTTTGACAGCAAAATGAAAATCAAGAGTTAGGACTCACCTTTGCTTAAGGTTGGACGTGAGAGAGAAGAAAAAGAAAAGGAAAGCTCTCATGCACTGCAAGATAAAAATAATAGGCACACATATTCTATAATATATATATAATAGCCCATGTGGTGGGTTCAGGTTAAAATAAATAAAATTGTTGACCCTATAAAAGAAGGGCAATTAGGACGTTGGTTCCCAAGGAGAGAACACAGTAGCCGCCTCCTTCCTTTTTGAATAGTAGCCGTACGGTGAAGAAAATTTGTAGATTTCTTCGGTAGAGAGCATGAGCGGCCGCAAGAAGAAGAAGAAGAAAGAATGTGAAGACTTTCTTATCTCCAACCGAATGTGAGCTCCTGCTTGGTCTTGAACCTCCGGAAATTGTGTTGCAAGTTATAAATCCATTTGAGTTGCTTATTACTAAACACTTGGGGTTTGGATTTACTTTAGGTGCGGGAAACACTCGAATATTGTGAGCGTTTGTTGTAAACTTGGATTCTCCAATTATAGTGGATTATTTGGTGCTGGTTCTCCCCGTGGATGTAGGTACCGATACGTCGGATCGAACCACGTAAATATCTCATGTCCTTTATCGTTCCTCGTTATTTCTCTAGATATATTCGCATTAACATAAATTGCAAGATCTCGGGTTTAGCTTCCGCGTTGGTTATATCACACAACAATTGATAACAGAGGTTGAGGATTGGATTTTCTGGATTGTGATTTGGGGATTTTGCTTATCTGATTATTATCTAGAAATTCTGTTGTTGCAATTATGTTTGGGGCGAAAGTTGAAATTGAGAAGTTTAACGGGAGGAACAACTTTGGATTATGGAGCGTTAAGATAGATGCGTTATTAATAACTCAAGATTTGGCCGAAGCATTGGAGGGCAAGTATAAATTGCTCGAATCAATCAAAGATGCCGAAAATGATTGCTAATGAGGACGGCGAGGAGTATAATCCTGTTAAATTTATCGGATGAGGTATTGATTGAAGTGGCCGAAGAGAAGGATGCCGCGGTTATCTGATGAAGGGTTTGAACAGTCGCTTATATATGCTGAAAAGGATGTTTCAATTTCAGATGGTTGAAGGCACATCCATTAGAACCCACTTAAATGAGTTTAACAAACTCATTATGGACTTGAAGAACGTCAATGAGGCCTTGCCTGATAAGAAACAAGGTATGATGTTGTTGGCATCTCTACTGGATTCTTTTGAGCACTTTATCGATTCATTACTACAGGAGCGCATTACAATTACCTTAGAAGAGGTCAAATTCGCATTGTTTTTTAAGGAGTGGCAAAAGAAGTTGCGAGAAAATAACTTAGCGCAAAAACAGTGCAAGGTTTAGTTATCCGGGGTAGAGACGGATGCAGAGAGTATAGCGATAATAGATGGAAGAGCCGTTCTAAATCGAGGTCTAATGTTCGAAACTGTCGATGTTATCACTGCGACGAGGTAGGGCACTACAAGAGAGATTATCCGAAGTACAAGGGTAAACAAGTTAAGGTGGAGTCTGCAGGCGATGGTAATATTGTTACCGCAGCAAATGATTGTTCTAGCGATGTCGATGATGTGTTAGCCGTCACCACAAGTTCGCCAGGTGAAGATTGGGTGCTTGACTCTGGATGTTCTTATCATGTGACGTCTTATAGACACTGATTTACTACCTATCAGTGCACGGAGGGTGATAAAGTACTTATGCAAAACAGTGCTGCTTGTGAAGTGGTAGGGATCGGAACAGTTTAAATTAAGATGCACAATGGGGTGGTGCAAACGTTGACAGGTGTAAGGCATGTACCGAAACTGAAAAAGAACCTTATCTCATTAAGTGCTCTCGATAAGTTCGGATATCGATTTTCCACTAAAGGTGGAGTTTTAAAGGTTTCTCAAGGTGTGCTTACGGTGATGCGAGGGAATATAGACTGTGGGTTGTATCTCCTCCAAGGAAAGACAGTGATTGGATCGTCTGCTAGATTCTCTGAGGTTTCAGGTGAGGACACAGCACGGTTATGGTATATGAGACTTGGACACATGACTGAGACGGAGATGATTATTATGAGTCAGCGGGGTCTACTGGGAGGTAAACGAATTGAGAAGCTGAATTTCTGTGATCACTGCAACATGGGTAGTCAGCGGAGAGTGAAGTTAAGTGCGGTAGTTCAGCGTACCTCGGAGATTGTAGATTACATACGCTCAGACTTGTGGAGACCTTCTCAAGTTCCGTCCAAGGGTGGTGCAAGTATGTGTTGTGTTTTGTTGATGACGTTTCAAGGAAAGTGTGGATTTGTTTTCTTAAGCGCAGGAGTGAGGTGCTTGGTCGGTTCAAGTCGTGGAAGGCGATGATCGAAAAGCAAATAGGAAGAAAGATCATGTGCCGGAAAACTGATAAAGGGTTGGAATTCTATTCTAATGAGCTTGGCCAGTTTTACATAGAGGAAGGCATAGTGAGACACCACACTGTTGCCGATTAACCACAGCTAAACAGAATTACATAACGGAATTATAATAGAGAGAGCTTGCTCTTTACTCTCCAATGCTAGATTAGATGAAGATTTTTGGGCTGAAGCCGTGAATACCGCTTGTTGGTTAGTGAATAGATCACCATCACCAACAAATTTATTGGAAAACTCCAGAGGAAACATAGACAAGTAAGTCTACTGATTACACTGGACCGACAGTGTTCGATTGCCCTACTTATGCTCATGTGAGTGATGGCACATCGGAGCCGAGGGTGAGGAAGTGCATATTCCTAAGCTATGCACATGGGGTGAAAGGATACAGGCTATGATGCACTAAGAAAAATTCACCCGGTTTTATGTTCAGCAAAGAGGTTACCTTTAACAAATCTGCTCTGTTTCAGAACAGAAGTGAGGGATCAATTGGAGAGAAAGATCTGGATGGTGTTCAAAAACAGTTTGAGCTTCAGGGAGAGTCTAGAGATGTTCAGAGCACGGTAGATGTGACAGCTTGTACAAAGTCGCTAGATTCCATAGCAATTGACGGTTGTTCCGAGGTCATAGTTGATGAAGCTTCGAGGTGGTCAGCGGAGGTGGATGAGATAGAGCAATAATTATATGCAGATATTGAAATAGATAATTTGGGTGCAGTAAAGCTAGCTTCGGGTATGGAGATGTAGAGAGAGGCTGTTGGAATGTTACGAGTGACTTGGAGGAGTTATGTCGGGCAAGCGTTAAAGCGCTTCAACATGCAGTTGAGAAATTCTATAAGTACCCTACTTACTACACATCATAAATTGTCTAGACTGTCACCATGTACTTGAATGGAGGTAGAGCAATTGTCCCGTGCTTTATATACTAGTATTGTTGGTTACTTGAGTTATCTCATGGACAATACTAGGCTTGATCCATCATATGCAATTAGAAAAATGTATATGATTAAACCGGGTATACATTTTGTTGTTGTGAAGTGGATTCTCCTAATTTTGTTGGGGACAATAGATATTGAGGTATGTTTCAGAGGATGTAGTTTAGGCAGTGTGGCAGTAACTGGGTTTGTGAACCCCGGTCATGCAGGGAGCCTGAAAGATGGTCGATTACTAAGCAGTTATGCCTCTGCTTCTATTAGTGATGTCATGTTTTGGAAGATGTGGTTGAAAGACATGGTGACTACCATAGGAGCTGAAGAGGCGGTGTGGTCTAATGACTTGGTTAGTGATGTTGGCATGGGACATCCAGTTGATGTGGTGTCCGATAGAAGTCGGAAATATCACTAGAGTATCGAGTTCATTGGTGACCGAAATTTTTGCGTCAGATATAGCATGTCAGAAGAGGAAGTGACTGTGAATAAGATTCTTACGGTGGTGATTCCTACGGACATGTGGACCGACTTCATTCATCTAGACAAGTTTAAGCTTTGCTTGACCTTGATACTATGATGGGTGAGCGCCCCTCGGGGCGTTGGGAGAGTAGCATGGATGACGAACACTATGACTTAGCTTCAAACGTCGAACCAATGTGGAGAAATGTTGAATTATGTCTCGAGTTTGAGTCGTTTACGAAACCCGACCCGATTGGATGAATATCCAAGTTTGACAGCAAAATGAAAATCAAGAGTTGGACTCACATTTGCTTAAGGTTGGACGTGAGAGAGAAGAAAAGAAAAGGAAAGCTATCATGCACTACAAGACAAAAGTAATGGGCACGCATATTCTATAACATATATAATAGCCCATGTGGTGGGTCCAGGTCAAAATAAGTAAAATTGTTGACTCTATAAAAGAAGGGCAATTAGGACGTCGGTTCCCAAGGAGAGAACACAGTAGCCGCCTCCTTCCTTCTTGAATAGTAGCCGCACGGTGAAGAAAATTTGTGGATTTCTTTGGTAGAGAGCATGAGCGGCCGCAATAAGAAGAAGAAGAAGAAAGAATGTGAAGACTTTCTTGTCTCCAACCGGATGTGAGCTCATGCTTGGTCTTGAACCTCCGAAAATTGTGCTGTAAGTTATAAA